GCCCCCCGTCTCCCGTGTGCCAAGTTACCTCGGCTTCTCCTCTTCCACCACTGCCCGCGCACCACTTTCAGCGTTGTGGGGATTCCCACCCCGGATCCTTCCTCTTTTCTCGCTGTCACAGCTGCAGATACCCTGATGGCTTCCACCTCCATTACACTCTCTGTTATGAAGCTCATACCTGCTCACAACAGCCATACAAGGCAGCCCTGAGTGCTAAACCCCAGGGGTCAACAGTTAGCCTACTGTCTTGACACATGAACCCCCAGCTGGGAGGAACAGCCACCCCGGGTGTCGTAAGAGAGAGAGAGAAGGTGAGTAGGAAGATGTCAGGGCTGTCACGCCATGCGCAGCATAGAACTTGGCTCATTGCAAATAGGTGGACCTCGTTTTATTATATATACTTCACTTTATTGCACTTTGCAGGTACTGTGGGTTGTTTTTTTTTTTTTTTTTTTACAAATTGAAAGTTTGCGGCAACTCTGCGTTGAGCAAGTCTGTTGCTGCCATTTTTTCCAACAACATTTCCTCACTTTGTGTCACACTTTGGTAATTCTCGCAATATTTCAGTTTTTCTCTACTATATTTGTTATGGTGACCTGTGATCAGTGATCTTCGATGTCACTGCTAGGGCTTGCTGAAGGCTAAGGTGATGGTTAGCTTTTTTTAGCAAGAAAGTATTTTTAAATTATGTACATTTTTTTAGACACGCTATTGCATAGTTAGTAGATTATAGTGTAAATATAACTTTTATATGCCTTGGAAAACCAAGCGATTCATGTGACTCGCTTTAATGCGATATTCCCTTTATTGCGGTGGTCTGGAACCAAACCCGCAGTGTCTCTGAGGTGTGCTTGTATTGGTTGAATGAGTGAATGACTTTAAAGTTACAAAGTGTCTCCATAGTATTATTTCTGCCTTTTTCCCTTGCAAGTATACTATTTTGGGGCAAAGATGTCCAAACTCCACATACCTGACTTTTAAAATGAACCCATTGGTAATTTGAAGGTTGCTTTTTCTTTTTTTAATTTAAAGCAATGTTAGATAACTTGATTTGCACTTCCTGTTCCTTTTAGCCAAAGACTCTGTGTAGCACTTCCAGAACACTATGCTGTCAGGCTCCCCATTTGTTCTTTGACTTGACTGTCCACACACTATCCGACAATGGTAGCCTGGCCCTAGTAAGGACGCAACACATTCTTTCATCCATGGAGAAAATCAGCAACCTTAAAGGTTGAGCAGGCGAATATGAAGAATGATTTTCTTCCCTCCATGGTTAGTGCATCTCACCAAAACAATGTAAAGCAACTTGGTTGCAGTCTTTAAGGAAAGACAGTTTCTACCCATTGCATTAAGTGACCCTTTTTAGACCATTACCCTGTGGCCAACCAACCTAGCTAAATAAAGTATTTTATTTTAGATCTTCCTCACCCTCAAATTTAAAAAGTTATTTTCCCCTGTTAGTTTTAGCACATTTACAGGCACACGTAGCCCATGGGACAATGGGTAAGTTACCCAAGTTAACCCAGGGCTGTGATATTTGCTTTCTGAATTACAGGTGTGCTGAATTTCAGAGATGTTGGTGGTGTGACTTCCATACTTGGTATAGTTTTTTCTAACATCTGTAATGAAATTGGAGAAAAATCTTTTGGAAATTAAAATAAGCTTAGTTGAGCTTCTCCAGCTGTTTTTCAGAACAGTCCAGATCATATTCCAGGACGGAGGAGGGAGTCATAAATCCTAGGTGGGTGGGAGAAGTGATATTACTGAAAGGTGATAAAATCCTATAGTATGGGCTGGATTTGCTTTCTGATTACCCAGCCCCTGTGCTCTGGTTAGGATTTAAAACTCCAGGAGAAAAGCCATGCTAAGTGATTTTCAAAGCTGCTATTGACTCATTCCAAACCACTGGGCAAGTCACTTATTTACTTAGTTTAATTTTTCTAAAAGTTATATTCAAAGTAAGGCTTCCGAACGCCCTTTGCCACCACTGGCAAAATAGTTTTTATGGTAGTTAACCATTATTTAAGACCAAGGGGAAAACACCTAACAAGCAGAAAGTATTTAGTAATCCTTGCTTTCTGCTCTAAACTGTTACTTATTGCTACAGATTAAAGCCCTAAGGATTAGTGAAAATGAAAGAGGACACTGGAAGGTTTAGTCCAGGTCGGCTGCTCAATAATCATGATCTTCTCTGAGTCACCTAAGTCCTGATTTTCTAAGGAATTACTTTTTCTATGGGGAGTTAAGTATGTCTTCTGCATGGATCTACACATCACAGATTAACCATTGTTTTGTTTTGTAACATTCAGGGCCTCATTTGGCTTTTTTTAATGAAGAAACAAAAACATTATTCCTTCACGATGGTTCCCAGCATCCTCCAGGGGAAGAGAAACCCCCAGAACTGCTGAGTCAGAGCTGAGCTAGGCACTGAGGTCAGCCAGCCTCCTGCACTGGTGGGAAGGGATCTGCTCCTCTGTGCTCACCTCACACTGTTTTCTGTTCATATTTGTGCCCCAGAAAAATTATAAATGGTTCCATACTCTAGATGTAGAGATTTGCTTCCAAGCAGCAGAAGTTTTGAATTAAGTTTGCAAATGATAAGGATACAACCACAGGTTTACAATACCAGGACACAACCACATACATATCCCTACTATTTTCTGAAAGAACAAAGCATCTCGCAAAAGACATGGTTATACCAGATGACCCAGCATTTCCACTCCTGAAGATATACCCGAAAGAATTGAAATCAGGTGTTCAAATTTGCATATGAATGTGCATAGCAGCACTCTTCATAATAGCCAAAAGAGGGCAACAACCCAAATGTCCATTAACATTTGAATAAACAAAATGTAGTATATTCATACAATGGACTATCCAGCCATGAAAAGGAATGATGTACTGATCCAATGTGGCAAGACCTTGAAAGCATTACGCTAAATGAAAGCACCCAGACACCAAAGGCCACATACTGGATGATTCCATTTCTATGAAATACCCACAACAGGCAAATCCATAGAGACAGAAAGCAGATTGGTGGTTGCCACAGACTGGGAGGAAGGGGAAATGGGGAGTGACTGCTTCATGGGTACAGGGTTCCCTTTTGGGGTGATGAAAATATTCTGGAACTAGATAGTGATGACGATGGCACAACATGACCAGTGACTACAGTGGCCCCTGAATTGTACACTTCAAAATGGTTAAAATGGTGAATTTTATGTTACGTGTATTTTGCTACCAAAAAAAAAGGGAAAGAAAAGAAAGAAAGAAAAAGAAAGGCAAGAAGTATATCAGGAAAGACATTTCTGAGTCAAGCTGGATTCCAAACTCAAATGCCTTTGGGATGCTTTGGGTAATAAAAGAGAAGGAGGCTTGTGAGAGACAAAAAAGAGGTGGGGTCTAAGGCCCTCCCTAAAAAGACTAGAAGGAAAACGTTTAAGAGACGTTATGTGAACAACAGTGACAGCTCACAGTAGTTGGATAAGGCCCAGGGACAACAGAGTTTGTAATCCCTGGTTAAAGGAAACCTAAGCTGTCCTTGACACAGGTTGGTTACAGTGACTTTCCTATGCAATCTGGCGTCTTGAAATGTTGGGTGACTCAGGTGCTTCAGATAGGACAGGCTTTGGGAGAACTTGAGCAACACAGATAACTAAGGTAAAACTTCTATGGTGGGGTTTTCTGTTGGTGAAAGCAAAAAAGATAAGAAATTTGTGGTCAGCACAGAGATCATCCTAGAATGAAACATACCACTTGCTCTATTTTCTCCACTTCGTTTATAGGAATAAAGAATATCTATCCCATTCACCTGACAAAGTGATGGATAACCAGGAATCAGTTCTTTAGGCTAAGTCCCAGTTTATTCATCTGAAAAATGGAAATTATAGTAATGGCTAAATCTTGCTGCCTCGCTGTCTACATCTTTATTAACGTCTGTCTGTGCTACTAAAATACAGCTCCTCTCTGAGGGCAGGGTTTGTGCTATTTGTGTCTGCTCCTGTTCATCCAGACCCATCACAGGGCCTGACACTTCTCAGGAACTTGGTGAATATTGGCCAGATGATCAAGGGGTAAGAGCAGTTCCCCCTGGAGAAGAAAAGGCTATAGGGGCCACAGGAAATCTCTCCTCAAGTCCCTGAAGGGGGTTATTTGTGAGAAACAAAATTTGTTCTGTATGCTCCCTTGGAATCGACAAGTAGGACAACAGGCTGGATTTGGCAAAGAGACGGGCTTAGTTCCATGTTATAAGATGAAATGGGCCACCTGGACAGGGAATAACTTCCCTGACTCTAGAGGTATTTTGACACCCTTTGGCCATAAGTTTTAAAGAGATTCAGCGTTTGTTTGAATGGGTGAAGGGGTCAGGCCTTAAGGTCCTTTCCAAACCTGAAATTCATTCATTCACACTTTCACTGCTTCATTCAATTCAGACAGCCACTTATTGAATGCTGATTGCTATGACAGGAACAGTGTTGTTGTTACCGAGTTCAAGTTCATGCTGCTCACTGCATGACAGGCCACTTAATCGAGAGACAAGATGTTGGGGCAAGGAACAGCAATTTTATTCAGAAAGCGAGCAGCAGACGGAGGAGTTGGTGGACTAGTGTCCCAAAGAACCATCTTACCAGAGTTAGAATTCAGGCTTCTTTTATACGTATACTTTAAAGGCCAGGGCCTTGAGAATAGGCTGTCCTGTGCATTTCAGGCTGTAGGCAACATTCTTTTACAAAAGGTGCAGAGCCAGCATGACTAGGCACAGGCAACAGAAAACAAGGGTTAGAGCTAAAGGAATAAATCCAATCTGTAGTCAGCTTTGTTCTTCTGTGTTACACTGTTAAGTAATGGGGGTAAAATAAAGAGTTCTCTAGTAATGCGTACCCTCAGAGATCTCGCAGTCTTAAAGAGTATATAGAAAGGAAAATAAATCATTACGGTAACAGGATATAAGAAATCATCTGTTATCTTTCCATGTCACCACCTGTTTTGTCTGTCTTTAACAGTGCACCAAGACTTGTGGCAAAGGCTCCAGGTACCGCAAGGTGGTGTGTGTGGGTGAGGACAAAGGTGACGAGGTTCACAGCATGCACTGTGACATGAGCACACGGCCTGTGGATCGCGAGAGCTGTGGCTTGCAGCCCTGCGAGTATGTCTGGATCACAGGAGAATGGTCAGAGGTACAGTCCTGGGGATTCTGGATCTGCCTTCAGGTCAGCGATGGCCTGAGGGCAACAGAGTGATGAGGGCAGGAATGTGGGAGACTCACACCCACCTGCCAGTTCTATCCCTGAGAACTGGGAGCCCTCAAACAAGTCCCTCAGCCTTCCTGGGCCAGAGTCCTACAGGTGCAGAGTGGGGGAGGTGCATAAGATGGTATCCACACTCCTCTCAACTCTACGTTCTGTGATTCCCTTTAATGTCCTAATAGTATGATTAGAAAGGAATTCTTACAGACACTGAAAATTCATGTTTCCTGTAGGAGCCTGAAGAAAGTTAAGTATGACACAAAAATGTCTTAGCATCAGGGAGGCAATAGGGAATGGTGGGGACTGTGACTAACTAGCACATGATGTGTAAGGGGAACAGGCTCTTTTCCACTCCAACAGAGGCCATGCGGAAATGTGGGTCCAGTGTAACCAAACCTGATGTTCCAAGAGAGAACAAAACTTCGGACTTTTATGTGCTACCTCCTAATCTTAAAATGTGGACTGAAATTATTTATTTAAAACATTGTGTGTGGGCTTCCCTGGTGGCGCAGTGGTTGAGAGTCCGCCTGGGGTCCGGGAAGATCCCACATGCCGCGGAGCGGCTGGGCCCGTGAGCCATGGCCGCTGAGCCTGCGCGTCCAGAGCCTGTGCTCCACAGTGGGAGAGGCCACAACAGT